CGTGGGTACACTCACTCAGTGGAGTGCTTAGTTTGTGTTTGGCTATCGTATCCTGTACTGATCGCTCTGTGTACTTTCGTTATCGTATTTAATTGACTTTATAATGACTGGAAAGCGTAAAAGTGAGAGTGCTGGTGGTGCTCCAAAGAAAAGGAGACAGGCAATGACCTTTGAGATGAAAATGAAGATAATAACTCAGCATGAGAATGGAAAAACTGTAGCAATAATCTCAAGTGACCTAGGTTTCTCACACTCAACCATATCCACTATTCTGAAGGACAAGGAACGTATTCGTGGTGTAGTGAAAGGAGCATCACCAATAAAGGGAATTATAATTTCAAAGAAAAGACAAGGTACTATTCACGATATGGAAAAATTATTGGTGATGTGAATAGAAGACCAGATACAGAAGCGTGTACCCTTAAGCGTTCTAACCATACAGGCTAAAGCAAGAAGCCTGTTCATGGGTGGTTTGATAGATTTCAAAAACGCTACAGTCTACACAATGTTAAGGTGAGTGGAGAGGCAGCTAGTGCCGATGTTGGTGCTGCTGAAGCTTTTAAGGAGGAGTTAGATGAAGTGATTGTGGAAGGGAATTATTTGCCTGAGCAAATATTCAATGTGGATGAGACTGGATTATTGTGGAAGCGCATGCCTGAGCGGACATAAAGTTTCAAAGGAGTTAATGAAAATGAAGTTATTTTGGATAATAGTAACAAGATAGTGGAGTTAGGTAAACAGCTGGAGTTAGAAATTGATAATGAAGATGTTGAACAGTTGGTTGAAAGTGTAACAGAAGAGCTCAGCAACGAAGATCTTATTGAACTACATGCACAGAAAATTGCAGAGGAAGAAGAGAGACAAAATGTAGAAGAAGAACCTGCACCCCCCAAAAAGTTTTCAGTGAAGCAAATGGCAGAGACATTTGTTGCAATTAGTAAAGGAATGCAAATGTTTGATGGCATGGATCAAAATTATGAGCATTATGCCAAAGTTGACATAATGATCCAAGATGCACTTGCTTGCTACAGAGAAATTTATAATGAAAAGAAAAAACAAACTGTGCAGTCTAAATTGGACATCTATTTTAAGAAGTCCCCCAGTGCTGTCTCCTCACACCCCACCAGTGCTGCCTCTTCACTCCTTCAAGATGATCCAATACCTTCAACCAGCAAGTTTTCACAGTACATAAACCTGTCTGAAGAAAGCGACATTGATGACCCACCCAGCTCCTCTGCTTCATCCAATTAATATAGTCTTCATGTATCCTGTAAATAGAAAATTATGGGGGCCCCGTGTGCATTCAGCTGACTAACATTAAAGGTAAGTGCTCAGTCACACTGTATCCATTCCTCATTATTTATTACTTTTACTGTACTGTATCCATTCCTCATTATTTATTACTTTTACTGTACTGTACTGTATTTCATTGTAGATTTTTTTTTTTTAATTTTTTTTTTTATCTATGTCGGACTTACGACCTCGATTTGGGTCCCCAACCCCGTCGTAAGTCTGGGAGCACCTGTACATGTCTAACTTAAACCTAACCAGAAAGGCCTGACCTGAACTCCTTTCCACATCCCAGGAGCTTCCAGGGTGTAAACTAACTTTACCTAAACAAAAATGACCTTAATTAATGAGGAGGATCATGGAGGTGCAGGCAGTCTGACTTACACCTTGAGCACTTTACTGAGCCAAGGTGAACACCTTGAGACCAAAATATGTTAACAGCTGAGGCTTTGTTCTCAAATACTCGTTGAATTACTTGCCGATCTCCCAACCAGTAACTCTCACAGAGAGATGCCATACACAATACAAATTCCAGAGCTTGTGCATACTGACAAGTATTATGTGACATCCAAACTTCTGCTGATTGGCTAAGCAAGAAGTATGTACATGCTGACGAGTATCGCGTAACATTGACACTTGTGCTGATTGGCTAAGTGAAATAGAAGTTAAAATAACTCAAAAACTATAAATTCCCAACAGATGCGCTGTAAAGTAAAGTATTTTTATACCTTATATATATATATTTATATATATATATATATATATATATATATATATATATATATATATATATATATATATGACACTTCACTTAATGTCAATTGAACCCAGAGGGTCCTGCTGTTAAGTGAATCATGCTAAGTGAACAAGAACATATGGGATTAAATATATATATATATATATATATATATATATATATATATATATATATATATATATATATATATATACAGTATATATATATATATATATATATATATATATATATATATATATATATATATATATATATATATATATATATATATATAGGGTGGTCCCAAAAGCTATATGGTAAAAAAAATATTGGTAGTAATATATTGCCTCACAAGCCTTAAAATTGTCCCATTGGTTCTTAGACAAGATCTGTAAAATTTTATGCATATTCATTGTTAACATTTAGAGGTCAATCCATTTTTGCATATTATACATGAGTGTGAGACTGAATTTTTCTTGTCATGATACAAGTCTTAATATACACAACACATTATATTGGGTATATTTCAATGTATATACCCTAAATTTGCCTATTTGGAAGGGGCAAAGAGTCAAGTATTGAGTCATAGGGACTGACAATGACAGGTTGAAACAGGAAACACAGATAAAGGGTTACCATTAATCAGATAAAGTTACTTATTTCATTTATATCTCATCAGTTCTGCAATTATTTCATTATCAATCTAAATAGTATATTTTGCTGAATAAAGACAAATGTGTTTATAATGTGTTTATCTAGCCCGAAAAATCTATGCATTACTAAATGGAAAAAAAAGGAGACGTTGGATTGACCTCTAAATATACTTTAAATGATCAATTTTTTCTGGGACATTTTATACCTAATGGACAAAAATAAACCTTGTGAGCATTATACAAATAGCAAGTATTTTGGACCACCTAATATATATATATATATATATATATATATATATATATATATATATATATATATATATATATATATATATATATATATATATATATATATATATATATATATATATATATATATATATATATATATATATATATATATATATATATATATATATATATATATATATGTGATAAAATCACACGGGAAAAGGGAAACATGAGCACCTTAGCTTTCGTCTTTATTCAAGACATCTTCAGAGGCAACTGGATTACATGGACAGAGAGAGGCTTAAATATATAGGGTGACCTTATTAAACATGAGGTCAGGTCATAATGATGTCATCCACTAATCCCCACACCAACACACACGTAGAGGAGCTTAAGAGAAGGGGGTGCCGTGACTAGTCAGGTCAGATCAAAAATAAGGGACCCACTAAATAACTATCATACATCTAGATCAAAGGTTTTCAAAGCATTTTTAACCTTGGGCCACTGACAAATAAATTTATGTAAAATCAGTTTTGAACTGACCATCACTAAGGTTTATTGATTTTAATTCCTTAATCAAACTAGCTTCAACCAGAAGTCTTTCTGTGACACAAGATGATTTAAATACTTCTAAGCTTTTTTCCCAAGCAATGGGGTGATTATTATTCCTAACATGAACGAACAAGGCACTGCTTTCAGATGCTGTTTTGATATTGTACTTATGTTGTTTGATTCTGAGCTGCAGTGTTTTCCCGTCTGTCCTACATAATTAAAATTACATTTACTACATGGAATACAATAAACACTTCCATTTACATTCAAACTTGGGCTATTCCTTATTAACATATTGGTAATGGTTGAGTCATACTTGAAAACAACATTAATATTTAGTAGCTTGAGGGACCGAACTAACGGGACAAATTCATTACGATAGGGCAGAGTCAAAATATTCTTAAGTGTAGGAACTTGTCTGGTTTGAGATGAATGAAAGGATTTTTTAGCCCTTTTAAAACAACGATCAACAAACACAGAAGGGTACCCGAGTTTTTGTGTAATGGAACGAATGTGTTTCAATTCATCGTCAATACGTAAATTCAGAGTCACAAATGCGCAGACATCTTAAGAACATAGCAGAAAAACTGACATTTTGGTAGTCTCCAGGTGATTTGATAAAAAGTGAATGAAACTGTCTACCTGTGTGGGCTTTCTGTATACCTTAAATTTGTAGTTTTGGTCATTGCTCATGATAAGCATGTCAAGGAATGGAAGGGATCCATTTATTTCTCTTTCAAATTTGAATGTGATACTTGGGACAATATCATTAAGCTTGTCTAAAAGTTCCAATGGGTCACTGTTTCTAGGCCAAAGACAAAGAACTTCATCTACATATCTATACCATGGAGGAATAAAGTCCACTATATTGAGTAGATTACTACCTAATATAGTGGACTTTAAATATATATATATATATATATATATATATATATATATATATATATATATATATATATATATATATATATATATATATATATATATATATATATATATATATATATACAAAGGAAAGAAAGAAAAACACGAAGTGTTTTCTTCTTTCTATGATTATACAGTGATTTACTTGCATATATATATATATATATATATATATATATATATATATATATATATATATATATATATATATATATATATATATATATATATATATATATATATATATATATATATATATATATCTTGATAAAATCACGGGAAAAATGGAAACAGCGGAGTACCTTTAGCTTTACGTCTTTATTCAGACATCTTCAAGACATCTGAAGATGTGCTTGAATAAACAGCAAATTTCCACGTTTTTCATTGTGGATTTACATAAATATATATATATATATATTTAAATTTTTCCCTAAACTGTATAAGAATCAATAGAATTCCTTGCATGACAACTACTATTAGTGAAGAGGCATGCTTGTCCATAACTTGTAACAGTTCAAGAACTTGTGGTGCTGTCTGTAGAACATTTATCAGTGTAACTTGTTGGCATCTTATATTTGTACTGTAGTTAAATATTCATAAGTGATTTTTTTCAGAACATGCAGTCAACAGCATACTCGCTGGTGGTGTTTACTGCGACCATGGTGGTGATGTTTTGGGCGAGTGTGTTTCTCTACACCTCCTTCTACTTTACCTACATGCCAGACGAGTCCGTCATGTGGCCAGTGCATTTTCAGTACCGGTAATGATGAACTATAATTCTCGTAGTATTGAGTGTTGAACTACAATGGACTAGTTCTTTGTAGGTGACTTATGAGGAATATTTAGTTTCATTATTTTTAGTTGTGTTTAGGAGATTATGAATGCCTTTCTTGACTGAGTTTTAGTCTTTCTCCAGCTGACTCACTTGTATGCCACAACTATGTTTACAACCAAGTTAGCCCTAAAGGCCTTAGGACCAATTATTGAGCACTGTTGTGTGCACATTAACGACCCCTCCAGCTTATTTCACCAGATGATTAAAAACCCTTAGTTCCTAATGTTACCTATGTGGGTTAGGTTAGTGTTAGGGTTTGTTAGTCATAAGAGGAAATAAGCTTGGGTGACTAATATTCTGGTGATTCAAATAAACTTTAAAGTAGGAAAAGTGGTGGAGTTACCACTTAGTATTTACAGTATCTCTTCCTTCAGCACTCAGTTTGGTGTAACCCTGGTACTGTACAGAGTATACAGTATTTATGTCTGACCACTAGACAGAGGTGCTGTATTTAATGTATTAGGTGGGGATTTAATTCTTAGGGTAAATGTAGTGATTGCTCCAGCCAAGTTCCAGCCTAAGATTAAATTTTTCAGACAAAAGACTGTCCCAGGAAACATAGCTTCTTGAAATTGAACAATGTACATTGTGAAGAGCTCCATAAAATTTCTCTGGGAATTCTAAATCAGGAATGTAGGCTTTCAGTAAGGATATCAACAACAGGAATACTGTATTGTACAGTAAACAGATGTTCATTACTAAAATATTTTCATAATATACCAGTGTACAGTACAGGTAACTGGATACTGTACAAGGAGTTACAGTATTACTGGTCATCTTAAGACTTTTTTGTTGTTTAAAAGTTTTAAATCTTTGGTCCAGTACTGCAAGTGGCCAAGATCAAGACCAAACACACACAGACCTCGTTCATTGTTGTACTTTCATTTTTAATGCTGTAATAGACTTGTTTCCTTGTGGTACAGTACAGTACTGTATTCCTTTCCATAATAAGACCTTGAATGTTTTCTCTGGTTTAACTTTGTCACTTCACACAACCAAGCATCACCCAACTCTTAAGTGTGGTACAAGTACAGTATGCCCTCTTTGTGTGCCAGTGAAGTCCATGTTGTATGTTTGTGAAGTTACCCTTATGAATTACATTAAAGTTTATTTTTAACAGCCTCAATACAGTACAGTTTACAGTATTGATCCTGACTGACTTTGTCACTGATGGAAGTTTTTGACGAGTCTGTGCTGACACAGCCGGTAACGGATCCTTGATCACCCTTTTTATCCCCCTCATCCAGATGATATAAACTGTAAAGCTGTTGGCATATCTTTCTGTCTGTAATCAGAGCTTGTCTGTGTGTAACTAAAAGTTGTTAAGTCAATTTTTCCAAAAAATTTCAATGGAATTTCATAAAACTTGGTGTATGTGGATTGCTGATGCTTCTGTGCCCAGTTGACTACTTCAGTGATTTTTGGTAGAGTTATGGCTGTTTATTGTTAGAAGAGACTGGCAGGAGTGGAGGGACATCATCTTCAGGTGATTCTTGTCCTCTACAGTGGTAAACTTTCTCACGCAGTTCCTGTCACGACAAGCCCGGCATCTGCAGTAACCCATTTGCTGTCATCAGTGTCACCGACCCAACTCGTGGGTCTCTCCTCGCTCGGGGTCAGAAGTACCGTGTGGTTGTTGATATTGACATGCCGGAGTCACCAACAAACCAGAAGATAGGTAATGAAGCTGCGTTGAATGTAGGTGTGTTGAGAAAAGCTTGTGTCTGTGTGGCAGGTTCAGGCTTTGATGCAGCTGATAGGGAATGAAATGGTTTCATTGAACTGATGCTAAAATATTTATTAAAAAAAACTTAACTTTTATTTGTAAGGCACTTTATAACCTTTGTAATGATATGAGAAATAATGCCTGAGCGTTGGTTGCTGGACTGAAACAGAGCTGGGCCCAGGCTCTTACTGTGTGTGTTGTCTCTGGGTTAAGGCATCTTTAATTGATTCTTTTTTCTTCTCAGAATTTTCTACATAAACTTGTCAAAGTATGTCAATCTTTGGTCTCAGTATTTTTTTTAACCTAATAATATTTAACAAGTTATTAATCTGTAAAGTACTCATCAATTTTATGTCTGTCAAGAAAACAAGTATTTAATATCTACCAATGCTGAACTGTTTACCTGCATTGTCTTTATACTGTACATGCCAAACCAATTGTAAGCATGTATGATAATTTTTGTAATAATTAGGTGTCTATTTATTCATCACAAGAGAATCAAAACAGAGTTGTACAGGGAGGTGGGGGGGGGCTCAGTGTTGAATAAAATCATCTGGCATTAGGCAAATAAAATATTAAAGTGGTAACCGATAGTGAAGGGATTGAGGAAAAATCAAATTTCTGTATTTATTGTATTGTACAGCTACCATGCCTTAACTATGTGGTGTCTAATGGAGAAACTTTATTATGAAAACTAGAAGTATCTTGTTGTACAAGTGATGCTCCTCTGTTATGTTGTGTATTTATCTGTGAACTTCAAATTCCGCTTTGATATTAAGTTGAAAATAAAATAACCTGAATGTTTTACTCCACATTACATATAAAGGTAAATGTTATATTTAGTTAGAGTAATTTGCAGCATATAAGGTGTACATATTCTGCTTGTCATCCTGAAGGCTGAGGGACATGACTGAGAGCCTCTCGGGTGACTTAGCCAGGCTGGAGTCTTTCATGATTATAATCTCTTATGAAAGGGATGTGGCTCATCAGAAGTGACCAATATTTTAATATAACTATTTAATGTTATTTCTTTACTTGTTTTTAAAGCTATATCTTAATCTGTATTTAGTGAGTCATGCAGAACTTCTTCCAACTGCTGTTAGAGCAAATATTATCATAGTTTACCAGGTACTGTATATATTTCAAGACCAAGAACAACAGAGCCTCTTACACTTTGCAACATTGAATCTTAGCAGCCATTTCTTTGACCATTCTTGAAGCTGATAGAAATAGCTTTGTCAGCTTCAAGAGTGGTCAAAGAAATGGCTGCTAAGATTCAATATCATGAAGTGTTAGAAGATGCACCTGGTACGTACCAACATTAAGGAGGCATATCACATGTCCCAACAGGACGAGAAAACTGCATTAATAGAGACCGAATGTGAAAAGGACTTGGGTGTACTGTATATGTTGGCAATGAAGTGAAATTCTCGGGCCATTGTGAGAAGGTGAATCAACCGACTAAACTACTAGGTCTTATAAGAAGGTCGTTCAGATATCTAGACATTCCGTCCCTCATAGCTATCTTCAAGAGTGAAGTGCATCCACGTCTGGAGTACTGTCTCCCCGTCTGGTCCTCTAGATATCGTAGAGACCGTCAGTTGATTGAAAATGTCCAAAGGAGGACCACCAGACTGGTGCCTGCACTATGGCACCTCAGTTATCCAGGGAGAGATTAGAATGCCTACAACTGCCTAGCTTATACTGCAGAGGGGAAAGGGGTGACCTAATTGAAGTTTATAAACATCTCAAAGGGCACTACTCAGTCAAGTGTCCATACCTGGAGTTGGCGGACGCCCACCCCACAAGGGGTCACAGCTCAAGGTAGAAGAAGCCACAAGTCCAGAAAACTGTGAGGACAAACTTTTCCGAGTGAGAATTGTAAACTATTGGAACAATCTGCCAGAGAGTGTTGTGTTGGCACTGAGTGTGAGCTCTTTCAAGGCCAGACTTGACCAACACTGGAGCATGTTCAATTCCATTAAGGATCCAGTTCATGCCCAGTACTTGCCAACAGTGCATAACAGAGATGTGACCGACTGCCCAAGCAGCTAATGAGCCAATCAGTGGTAAAGAGGTTAGAGGCAAAAATAAGAAAAATTATTTGCATTGAACTTCAAGATTGTGAATACTGTACAGTATTGATAAAACAAGAATTGAGTAATTACCTCTACCGGTATTTCATTTACTCCCATGTTGGGTGCACCAAAATATAACTTGGTATGATCATTAATGCAGATATTTTCATGCTCTCCCATCACTGACAACTCACAGTGAGCTGCCTCTGTCCCCACTGTACTGTACTTCTGCCTCCCTGTTTTGTTTGCTGTGGTAACTGTTACAAGCCATATTCTTTCTTTTCTTTAGTGTACTCGTATACTAACTGTGTTTTGCTTGGTTGTGTGTCTACGATGCCCTAATCATAATGTCTTGACCTGTCTGACCAGAACTGTGTTAGAGCTTTGCTTCACTGCATGAACTGATTGATATGCCATGCATGAGTTTTACCAGTACTGCAATTATTTGGATTTGTGTTTGTGTTTCAGTACTGCAGTATGATTGACTGAAAATCTTGTATCAATGTGCAGTACAGTATAGTTTATCTGTGAAAAATGTTATACAGTATAGGTCTAAGATTATACTTGACCCTTGCTTTATGTGTATTCACTGCTGGGACTAAGTCCGTGGATCCTGTAAAACTGTTGATGCACTCGAGCCACAGTTTACCCACACACCATTCAGGCAACTTTCTGAAACCTCTTCCCATGCCTTGCCAATGTTGTCAATTGCATGAAGAACTCTATTCACCATGCTGGGGCGAGCCTGGCGACCGGTGCCTTCAGGTCTTCACCAATCCTAAGTCGACTAGTTGGTGCCACCCCTTTACCTTTGACATCAGTATCTCCAGGTCCAGTGTTGATTTTGCCTCCACCACCTCCCACAGTCTGTAACCAACACTTTTGTAGTTGACGAAACTGTCCCCACACTACACTTAGCATCCAGGCCTCCTATGACCTTTTGGCTTCAGGGTAAGGGAGGTTGAGTCTTCTTTGTCTTCCTCCTGTTCAGATATGCTCAATTCTGCTCTATGGATTCTCCCTGAAATTCAAGTTTGTCAGTATTTAACGAAAGGAAGGACTTACTCCCACTCTGTGTGATTTATTCTCTTTTTTTAGAGCATGCCTCTTCTCACAGAAGTACTGACAGTGTTTACACCGACGGCTATTAAGTCAGCTGTAGGTGTGAGTTTTGGGGTAGTGTTTCTCTTATTCTGTTGGGACGGTAGTCTCCCTACTATGGCATCTATTTTTATGGCAGAGCTTTTAGGTATTTTACTTGCCCTCAAGATTATTTTAACAACCTCATAGCGATTTTAAATTTTTTTTGGCAATTCTCGTAGTGCTCTCTGGGCCTTAGCTAGTGTCTCATCGCCCCATCCCTTAGTTATGGATATTTTACAGTGACGTTCTCAACCAATGTCGAGGCCTGAAAGTCAGTTTTTGCTGGGTTCCGTTTTATGTTGGGGAGAAGGGGAATGAGCATGCTAATGCTGTGGTGAAAGCAATTGCTTCTCTTCCCTCAAAAATGTGGGGTCAAACTATACAAGAGATAGGCTTGTACAGTAAATATCATAAGAAGATAGTCGACCATCTGACGGAAATGTAATGGTAGTTTATTTGCTTTTACTGGATGGTCATCTGTTAGAAGATATTCTAAATTACTGTGCAGTATTAATACCTGTACAGGTATTTAGTATTTTACTGCCTCCACAAACTGTTGAAGGTGCATGTACAAAATATGTGAAAAAACAGGGATTCCTGTACAGTACAGGCATCCCCCGCGTTACGGAAGCCCGGGTTACGGAATTTGTAAATTATGACCAATAATTTTGCGTTACGGCCCGTAAATCCGCCCTTATGGAAATTGGGGTAAATTTTAACAATTTAAAAAAAATCACTATATAAAAATATAATTTGTTGTTAAAAATAATAAATTGTTTGGTGTGGATTTCTTGGTGTTTGTTACCGCCAAGCGTGGCATCGCCACGAGGAGTCAGTCCATTGTTTACATCCAGTGTGCACGCATGTTTCTCGCCCCAGCAGTTGGATTTAACTTTTACAAACATACAGTAAGTACAGTACAGTGCATTACCCTTATTCAAGATAACTGGAAAGAGGCCATCAAGAGGAAGTGACCGCAGTAGTGCAAAAACAAGCCGCAAAGGTATTACATTGGATATTAAACTTGGTGTTTTAAGAAGGTATATCATAAATTATTTAATGTACTGTATTGTTATGTGTTTATAAATGTTTATTTTCATTAATAAAAGTGCTTGAATTACTTTTTGGGGGCCGAAAAAATTCCTTAGGAACGCATCTCCAGTTTTATAATGGAAGTCAATGGGAAAATAGGTTTCGCATTCCGGAATTTCGCGATACGGTCAATTTTCCAGTAACGGAACCCTTCTGTAACGCGGGGGGTGCCTGTACTTTAAAATACACTTTACTGGTATTCAATATATAAGTTATCCTATATGGTCATTATATAAGATTGTATGTAAACTATGTATCTCATGTTACCAGTATAGTAAACATCCAGACTTAATGGACGTGTAGGTGTTTGGGAATGTACAATTTATGTCCATTTATTTATGTGTCACTTGTGTTGACAATCAAATCACTTTATGAACACATCTCCACTATTGATAATAAATGGTGCTTTCTTTTTGTTTTCTCACCATACCCAGTGAGGTAACTGCTTCTCTTTTTTATATTTTCACAATAAAATAACAGCTCAAAGGTGAGTATGTCTGGATGTAAAGAGTTTTGACAAACAAACGAGTTTCCTGGACAAACTGAGGCGATAGTCGAGTGCATTCCTTTCAGCTGAGGTCATCTTGGTAACCAACATCACTTGAACCTTCTATAATTTTCTTTGGTTTCAGGAATTTTGGATAAAGGATTCTCAACCTGGATGTGTGTTCCAAGATTCAGTAGATTTTTAAATATTCGTAACCTTATTTTGTATATTTTAACTCGCATTTCTTTGTATTGAAATTGACAGTATTGTATATACAGTAATGCATTATAACTGCATTTATATTTAACAAGTTTTAATATCTTGTTGGATACAGTAGTTTTATAAGGTCCTGTGATAATTTTTCTTAACCAAGTTTTGGCAACAAATTTTTAATGATATGTTTGTTCACAAAATGAAGCAGAGGTTCTTGAAGCAGATAAGCCACCAACAATACTTTCTTTGGGTAGATAATGTGAGAGTAAGACGGCATCAGTTCTGACAACCTCCTTAAGATATCTTCTCTGTACAGTACTGTGTGTGTCAGAAGGTGGAGGGGCTGATCTCACTGGCTCACATTGAAAACCCATAATTCTAATATCTTGGGATCATTTGTCCAAATTTGTTGTTTCTATTCTTGAATTGCACAACATTCTTGAGAAATATTTTGAAGTTGGAAACTTTTTTGGGGCCTTATGCCTTTATTTATAGACTCCCTCCCTGTGGGGTGGATTAACAGTGTTAACAGTGTGCTGTTACTGTACTGTACTTGTGTCTTAGACACTGAATTCTTGGTTAAAGGAATTATACACAGACTCCATTCTGTTTCTCTTTACTCTGATGAAATAACTGCATATTGTACTTGTGTTTTTCCACCCCAGGCATGGTACCCGAGTGATGCCGGCTGGCTGGCATGGTAACTTTTGACTGTCAGTGTTATTTAACTGTTTGGACCTATTTCACTTGCATATTCTGTGCAGTTATCCAGTAATTGTGACTTCATAATATTTTATGGATCCATATTGGTCAACTTACTCTCATCACAGTGTTCCTTCTATCACTTGTGATTAAGAATTTCTCATAATCTATTTGCAGTATCAAGGTGCTTATGTTGTTACTATTCTGGGCACAGTGTTAGTGGTAAGTGATGGCTCGTTATGATAGTATTGTACTGGACTTTGTGGGGGTTTTTATGTTTACTGAAGAATATTTTTTTTTAAAGCATGTGGTCATACAAATCTATTTATCTTGTTATAACATGTTAGTTAAGTTATAAATTCATAGAGAGGTTTATCAGATACCAATACTTCAGACCATAATCTGGTAGCTTTCCCAAGTTCATAACTGATCATGCCTAACTTCCTCAAAATTTCACCAAACAGGTGTGGCCACATACTGTACTGTACTGCACTGTTAAATCTCTTCAGCGTCTCATTAATTACTATGTCATCATGGTGGCTTATAACAGCTGGTGTGTAAAATGAAGTGATGTAAAGAAGAAAGTTGTTTTGTTAGAAATGGATTTTATTTATGTCGTTTAATGTCACTTATCAGTCTGGCATATACGGTAACTTGAATTGAAGTCCTTAGATAAACCCCAAGTAATTACATTTGTTTGTTTTATCATTTGAGTAAAACCTCAAATTAATGTCAAAGAGAAATGGTGTTTGAACCCCCTGGAACTATTCTGTTAATATATCACATCAACAGGTATGTTTCTCATCAACATGAATATGAAGAGCCATACAGGTGAGGTGCTCCGTGAAGCATCACGCTCCTCCATGCTGCGCTACAAGTCATCTCTCCTGCAGACACTATCCACCATCACCTTTGCCCCCTTGCTTCTCTATGGAATTCACGAAGAGAAGCAAATGGTGACCGTGGAACTTTTCTCTCAATATGAGGAAGATCCGGTGAGTTCCCAGACTTTGATGTGGCATAGTCATCCTCTCCAACCTATGCTCTTTGTGTGTTTGTTCATTAATGTACAAACTTTTCTCCTTTTTAAGATTTGATTACTCTGATGCTGTCAGTTGCTAAAATGTGTCTTACCGGACATGTGTATTTGTGGTGAGGATCTGACCCGGCAGTTGTGAAGATGCAAATTTGTGAACATTAATAATATTTACAGGTATACTCTGATTTATGATCTCCCGATTTGCAATATTCTGCTTTAATGGTGGTGATGTATTAAGACCACTCCCCGATATGACGTAAACAATTTGCCTGAACAATGGTCATTGTCCGGCCAACGAGGAATATGGAACGCATCTTTCAGTGCACTGGTCAGCTGCAGTGTAATCTACTTGCACTTAGCTGCCTAGTGCACTACAGTACCAAGCTTTATTCCATGGTGATCACACGTGCCCGTGTTTGTGTAGCTCAATGATTAATTATTGGTCAGTATCGGTGTTGTTACTTATCAGTGTTTTTTTTTTTTTTTTTTGCCTTACATTGTGAGGACATCACTAACAGTTATTTTTGCTATGTTTTTGTGATTGTAATGTGCTTTGTCTCTGTTGTTGTGAACATGATGTGAAGAGTGTCAACTGCTATCATTGTTTTTATGTTATTATTGTTTGCTCTGTTTATGTGACTGTAAAGTGAGCAGTGTAACTGAAAATGTCCTCAGCAGGCGGTGGTGATGTGCTTCTCCCCGGGTGATTTCTGCTATAATAACTACTGCCTGGGTGCTGCTTGTTCTTTCCTATATAGAGGTGAATCCCTACTTACTCATGCACACATTTGGCAAACGTACTGTGACTCTAGTTAGTTCCTGGCTATGTAACCATTGTACACCAGTTAACACAGCAGACGTTGGAATCCAGTTCTGGCCGCCTGGGGATTGGAAACATAATGTGTTGTCTAATGGTAGACCCTGCTGCCATATGGCATCATGAAAATTGTGACCAAGTCCCAGGTTGTTGATCTGACTTTCTGCCTCATTTATACATAATTGCAGGGTATCAATTTTTTCTCTTACTTTGACAACACAACATACATATATATTGTTTCTCACTACAGTATTGATTTTTTCATTTTTGCATTTCTTTATGGTTCCTTATCATTATTATTATTATTAGTGTTTTTATTATTATTAGTGTTGTTATTATTATATTATTTTTAATTTTGTATTATATATTTTATTTACTATGAATTATTATTTTATTTTTAATTTTGTATTTTTATTGTAAATTTTATTTATGAATTATTATTACAGTATAGTCTGGATTTACGCGGTCAATTGAACCCGTGGAGGCCCGCGTAAAACGAGAAACTTAAATGAAATAACAGAACATATGGGATTAATTGAAATAAAGACTGGGTCAATTTCAAACTCCACTTTTCCGACAATACATACCTTGTAGTCAAAATAACATCTTAATTTTATGATGGTATGCACACACAATTAATAATTAAGAGAAATATCAATAATATTAGGTTTTTAACACTTACGTTAGTAGAAAAGATGGCTGGCACACGGGGATGGGGGCTTGGTTCCGGCAGAGGGCAGATTATTGGCCCTCACCTGTATCACTTGTATCAATTGTATCGCTATCCACCACAGAGGCTTGCAGGGCCAAACCCTCAAGTCCATATTCTCACGATCACTATCACTGACTTGGGCGCTGTGGTGGTTGGCGGTGAAGAAACCAGTAATGTTTTGATGATTGGATGACCTTGGCAGCACTCTGCCTGCGCCGCTTCCGCAGTAATGATCAAATTTACTGTGTAATTTAAGCATTTCATTCTGGCAAGCAACGCATAAATGACCAAATGAGTTAACAAAACCGGCGAATCCAGACTATACTGTCTTATTAAGGGTGTGTCATAGGAGGGAAGATCAGCTAAAACTAATGGCCCATCACTTTTTTGGTAGATTTTTGTGTATATAAACAGAAAATAATTTCAGTTTCAATATTTGCAACCTTTTGCTAGGTAAATTTTAGCTGAAATTTATCGAAAATCTAACGCATAGCTGCATTAGTGCATTACAATTAAATAGTGAACATTGCTGTCGGACTTCATTCTTAACAACCCAACTAACAATATTTTTTTTCTGTTTCAGATTCTGATGCATTTATAAGTTGATAATATTTACGATGGCTGCTTGTGTCAGGACGAGGAACCAAAAATCCAGCCATCTCAGTCACTATCCTGGGTCTGGGGAGAGAGCCTCAGTCGGAGTGCCTACATTGAGAGATGCTTTGAGATACGTGTTTTAATCAGGCAAATCAGTGAAAGAACCAAAGAACTTACACAAACAAAGACATTGCCAGTGATATGACCAAAGCTGTCTTGGCACAGTACACTCTGCTAACGCCAGTTCAAGCCTCCAGTCATAACAGTCAGAAGAAGATTAGTGAGAGACTGCTCGCCAGGTTAGAAAAGGCAAGAGATATCTTCTTGGGAGAGGAAAACTTGCAGTTATGACAGCTTTTGCCAAGCAACTGGACCAGTTATTTGACATAATTACTGTAAGTGCCCAATTGTTCTCTGTCCTGAGTTTGATGCGACGTGACTAAATCCGAGGCCCACATCTCCTGTATTTGCAAGCGTGAACTGAAGATTCTGTGATCGAACTGGCATTTGTCAAAGCACAGAGAGAGAAGACTGGCAGTATAGGGGCTCTCATGATTAGCCAAGATATTCCGAGTCCAAGAGACAGGAGGCTGCCACAGACGGAAGAGGAGAAGAGTGCCGAGGATGAGGTAAAAAAGGCCGATGATTGAGTCAAGCTGATTCAGAGTTTAATGATTTCTATGGCTGATCCGGAAAAGGACCAGGAGAATGGTGACTTTGTCCCTAACCCAGAAATAATGATCCCAAACCTTCCAGGCATAAGATTGAAATAGAAAGATATCCCGAGCATAGCTCTGGCCAGCATGCACACCACACTGGTCTCAGAGAAACTGCAGAGATAGCAACAGCTGCCTGGATTGACGGTGGTTTGATAACACCTGATGATGTTCACGTGGTGATAGATCATAACAAAGTAAGGAGAGCTCAGGAGAAACTTGTCAGTAACCTAGAAGAGGAGTTTGATAAGGGATAAGAGAAAATGGAATCAATTGTTTGTTCTTTGATGGGAGAAGGGATGACACTAAAGTGTTCATGAAAGTTGGAGATTCTGACAAGTTGTTCCCTGCCATGGTGAAGGAGGAACACTACTCCTGCTGCAGTGAACCAGGAGGGAAGTATTTGTGGCATTTCACTCCAGAGAAAGATGACATCAGGAAACCAGCTGAGATAGTGACAGATAACATTGTGAACTGGCTCAGAGAGAGGAAAGTAGACCAGACCCTGCAGGCCATTGGAGGGCAGGACCAACACGAACACAGGTGGCAAGGGGGGTCATACAGTGGATAGAGCGGAAGATTGGGAGGAAGCTGGTCTGGATTGTTTGAGGCGTGAAGGGACACACGCGGAATGTGAGCATCCTGGGTTCCGGGCAGGGTACTGCCAGAACGTGGAAACGCGGAATGTGGGACCGCCAGAAAGTGAGGGTTGACTGTATTATTGCCCTCAGGCCCCGATGGGGTCATAACTCCTGCCCGGTGGGCTAACCCCCATTAAAAAAAAAGTATGTGATCGCTGATTTGTGGCTGAATGCTGGCAAAAAGCCTTTTTTTTCTTCTAAAACCAGTTTTTGTGATATAGCTCGAATGCAACGCCAGCAAATGCTACCTAGGTAGTACCTTGCTAATTCACCAGGCCAACATACCGCAATTAAAACATCTAATAATTACTTCATAAGTAATATTAGAGGACATTTGCTACCTGGCATTTAATTTCTATTTTCAAAGTCTTCCTTCATCTCGCATTATGCTCAACTAACCTCATCTCTTGCCTGGCGATTCAGCTATAATACGCACAAAGGAAGCTCCACGAATTTGTTCTAATTGCTGAAATACTCACCTCTGCATGGGTATTATATACGGTATTTGTACTTAAAGCACAGTGATGAAGTAGAGTGACTTTCCCCGCTTATGTCTAATTGGATTCCTGACACACCGCCAGAGAAATGTCTGTAGGTCTTATTACTAATTTGGAGGATATCGCGCTGGAGTTCATTGAACAACGTTAATGAGATAACATTGGCACATGCCCGTATCTATATCTAGGATAGCTGATCGTTACCTATCCTCGCTGGTACAGTCAACACTTCCACTTTGTTCAACGCGCATTAATGAGCCGGTGATGGAAGCGTTGTTTCTTGAACCGTTGACGATCCTAGATCGTGTTGCTGGACGCCGCTTCTTCCCCCAAAAGCTGTTTACAGTGCTTGTCGCCATTCGTTTTTCAATTTCTTGCCTCATACACTGTATATTTCTACAATCTTCGTGTTGTGAAATGGAGACTGATGTACTGTACACCTCTTATTCGGAGGTGCCTTTAAGTGTTTGGAGACATTTTATCTTTTGTAATGTCCTTTGGTTTTGGTTTAGCACTGAGTTTTAAAGTCCTGGAGGATCTTTTTCGCTCTTGCCTCTGGCTGGCTGGGTGTTATCTGCTTGTCCTGCAAACCCCATTTTCTGTGGCATGTCCCTTACGCTTGCAGACTTTGCAAAAATGTACCTTTTGGTTTGGTTCTATGACAGACTGAGGTTGTTCCTTAAAGCTGGTGACTGGTGCCACTGACATAGCCCTAGGAGTATTTTCCTTGAGTTCCTAATTTTCTACGTATTTCTACAAGTTTAGTCCCTTTTTTAAATTCTTTCTTTTGCTTTTCGTAGTGGGTTCATTTAATGACAAGATAAACTGAAGGAATTCGATAATCCTGTAGAAATTTTCTTTAGACAGGTTGTTATTGTTATCGAACCAATCTAAGGATTCCATGGAAGATTTGAGGTCTATCTTATTGAGTCCCACACAATTCTGGCATCTTGCTATGTGTGAGCAGAGTGTCACCTGTCCACTCTGCCATCTTAAATCCAAGTAAGTGGACCTCTGAACCTGACTCAAAAAAGGAAATTAATTGTTTCAAACGCTTTGATAATCATCCGCTTTTCATCAATGGCTGAAGCAT